ACGTGTTAGTTAGCCACGAGACACACCCTGGGAGAGACTGGAAAAAAATGACGTGGTTACTTAAAAGAAAATAGTATTACAATTATAAATCTCTGCAGGAGAACATCTTTTTCTGTAATTTTATATATATTTTGCCATTGTATCCTCTTTTTGATGTCCATACGGATGTTGTCATAGAGATGGATAATTATTTGTCATTTAACAGAAGGTCTGATTATTTCCAGCTTTTAGCATAATAAATTTGAGGTGGGGAAGTTGTTTAGGCTGACAGCTGGAAAACATCACTTTTGCTTTAAGTATTCAAAAATCTAATTTATCATAAAATTTAATAGGGATCAGTTTTGAAGATGGGCAAAAAATAAAATGTCAAATATACAAAGTCCCTGTATTGCTGATAATGTGTATACTGTTACCGTTTTTCTTTCTACGTTGAATGTCAGTCATTACAGATTAAAATCAGACTTAGCATTGGCATTAAAGGGTTAGTTCACTTAAAGGGACTCTGTTGGCACCCAGACCACTTCATCTCATTGAAGTGTCCCTGTTCCCTTAACCCTGTAGCTGAAAACATTGCTCTTTTAGAGAAACTGCAGTGTTTTTATTGCAGTGTTAAGACTGCCTCTGGTGGCTTTCTATCAGACAGCCGCTAGAAGTGCTTCCAGCGGTTTCAGAGTTTGAGTGACATTTTGCATGAGGATGTCCAGCATTTTCAGAATCCCCATAGGAAAGAATCGAGTCAATGATTTCCACTGGGGAAGGCCTAATGCCCACAAGGCACTTCCTGCAGTTTTGAAATAAAGGTGGATGTCCTCACAATTTGCATGAGGACTTCCAGTATGTAAAGAAAAAAAAACCCTATAATAAAGCATTACCCCATTGGCTGATGTCGGTTGAGGAGCCAGACCCAGTTCAGAGGAACATCAGGTAAGTGGAAAACGAATTTTTATTTTTATTTTTTTTTAACCCTTTATTTTGCTGGGGTGGGGGGAGGGTTTCTATAGTATTAGGAATACAGCTTTGTATTCCTAACACTGTAGTGTTCTTTTAAGGTAGAACTAGCATTTTCTAGAACAGGGGTAGGCAACCTATGGCACTAGTGCCATGCACGGCACTCAAGGCTGCTAGAGCCAAACAGGCTTTGGCCTATCAGGAGTCCGAGTAAAACTTGAGATGTCTGCTAATACGAAGAGGTGGTGAAGGACAATCCTCTATTGATGCATTGCAGCACATAGAGGAAGTGATCTCAGAGCACTTCATTCCAGCACTTGTGAATGGGAATCCACACTGTAGTAGAGCAGCCTGCAGCTGCTGTTACTGCTCCTGTCCCTGGCCAGCCTGGTCCTCACTGGAACCCAGGGAAGCCACCCACACTGCTAGATATACACGGAAATGCAGAATAACCCTCCCCTCATACAAATAATATGAACAGCCCACACACAATCCGCACAAACACAACACCACTAACAATCCACATACATGCACACAACCCTACATGCAGCCTCTCACATGCAATACCCCAAACAGCCCCCACACACTACCAAACACACAATGTGACATATCCATTCACACACAATTCCACAAGCAGCCCTCATACACAGCCCACATTCATATGTATCATACACGATACCATAAACTACTAATGAACATATACAATATAATAGCTCATATACGCACAAATACAACAATACAAAGCAATTACAGTAAAAATAACAAGCCGAATACGGCAGCATACACACCTCAATTTAAAAAAAAAAAATAGGACCGGCACGCTACGGGACATCACAAGCCTATATCGGCATAGTGCTGCTAAAAGGTTGCCTACCCCTGATCTAGAATATTAATATTATGTTCCCTTATCCCCATTGTTAACAAATATGTGTTTGCAAGGTCCGTGTTAAGAACGCTGGTATTTCAGATACCCGTTGGCTTCCGGTTCCTCCGGAACTGCTAGAGGCTGAGTGATTATAGCGCGCATTTCGGGTGTTGATTCGAATGTTCCCCAGAAGGAAATGCAGTATCCAAGTAAATTCTCCCAGCAATAAGACGTATACTCAAACATCAACCTAGACTAGATGAAGGGTACAACAGGAATTAATTTATTCAGGCCAACTGGCTGGTTTATCTGCAAGTCCCCATGCAAGGGGTTTACTGTGACATATTTCAGGGGCATTGACCACTAGACCTGAGAGGGGACAATGGCAAAGTACACACTGTAATTACATTGGCTCTCAGGTCCAGGACACTCCCACACAAAACAGGATAATCCCTTCCCTGTGCCTTTGAGATAATTGAGTCCTAAGAAACTGTACTAAACACCCCGAAAGTGCCCCCAAAACACAAGGAAACCCCCCAAAAGTCATATCCCCTGATAACTCCGATCTGGAGGACCAACATATCCATAAGTCAGCCAGATCAATTAAGGAGTTCAGGATTTCCATGGAAGTCATAATTTTGACCGACCGTGCACATGGTCCTATGCCCAAAACAGTTCCAGGGAATCACGGCTAACGGTCGGTCTCTCTTTCAGGAGTACAAAAGTACATAAATCACCTGAACGGAGCCTTTTAAAGTGCATTGGGCAAGGTATATTGCAGGGCCCATAGTCCTGAGGCTGGTAAGTATCCGCAGATGTTTTAAAACTACAACTCCATCAATGCTTTGCATGCCTTTGGAATACCTTTAGAATGGTAATGCATCATGGGAGCTGTATATTTAAAACGTCTGGGGACCTACGTTTTGGGAAGCCCCTGGCCTATAGGGTCATCCCTTTATGTTTATATCAATAGGCCTCAACATTGTGAGGACCTTTGATAAGCTTATGGAAAGTGCTAAAAGTCCAAGCTTTCTTGCAAAGCAATTTCCACCAGTATGTAATATGGCTAGGAGTATGATACACTGCGTGCCTTACACACATGCTTTAGCTAATTCCACTGCCAGCATAGTGAAATATTACAAACCCCACGTGTGGTTCCGCAAAGGATAAATAATGGATTCCTTAGCACTGTAGAAATACCTATTCATTACACTGACCATTTCATGACAAATTACTAATAAATTCTCACCACGTAAAGAATTTCAAATACATTGTACTTTTCCTCTCTGAATCCATTTTATTTTTTGGTTTTCTGTGTGATGACATGCTTTAACAACTTAACTATTCTGCACATTCATCACACCTCTGCTATATGCGCTCGTCCGAATTCTGAGCATGCGGTGCGTGGTTGGACTACGGCAATGTGTTTAACTATTTATTTTTTTATTTTTTTTTTAGGTAAACTTTCCCTTGAAGAATTTATAAAAGGTGCCAAGAGTGACCCTTCAATTGTTCGATTGTTACAATGTGACCCAAGCAGCACAAGCCAGTTCTAAAAAAAATAAATACAAATTTTAAAGAAGTCTCATCTGTATGGACAGTCGCAAACCAAACTCTGGCTTGTCATTCAAGCTTCTCTTGCAAGTGGATGCCTTCTCAGTCATTCCTCAGCTATTAATGGATAACAAACCTTTGCCAGATTGTTTTATATGTATTAGAGAAAAAAAAAAAAAAAAACAGCTTGGCGCCTGTTTCATAATACCAGTATACATTCCTCAGTCATCCGCTGCATCCAGTATGATTTTATAGATATGTTTACACGCAAAGAGACCCTGCTCTCGAAGAAATGTGGCTTCTTTGGACACGGAATGTTGTGCTATTTTCCTGACACTACACCAAACTGGCTAACTCGAAGCATACGTTAATTGGCTATCTCAACTTTGCGTTAAAAGGGGCAAAGAGAAGCGGATTAAACGTCGAAAGCACAAGAGAATACTACTTCTTTAAAGCAACTGCTCAAAATTAAATATATATATGAGAACGTTTAATATGATGTATAGCTATAATTGTGTGTGCACGTATAAACATATATATTTATGGCTATAGTTAAATATATATATTTTATACATATGAAACACACTTGCATATACGTCAAATATTCTGTATCTCTTGTTTAATACTTTTTTTGTCTTGTTAAATCCCCTTTTATGCCAGAGTATTGAATGGCTCCTTTACCACTTAGGGGCTTACCAGAAAACGTAGATAGGCTTCTCTTCCTGTACCTGTGATTTTACTAATAATTTAATTGGACATTTGTTACTGTGACACACATATAATAATATATATATGCATTTAGCAACATTTGCGGTTTAACAAAAAAAAAGCATGACCGGCTGTGTATGGCTGTTTCCCCATGTTTAATTATTGAATGCAAAGCTTTCTGTTGAATGGTCAGTCTGATGTTAAATGTCCATGAGCTTTTTGTGTTAAAAAAAATAAATTAAAAAAACTATGGGGGAAGGGGGAGGGAAACAAAGAAAATTTATTAGGTCTTTGTGAGCAACAGTCATTTTTATTCCATTATTTCATGATGTGTAGCCAGTAAGTCCCCAAAGAAAAAATGAAACTGGAACAGCTACTATTGTAAATGAACTTTGCTTTAAATCACTATTCTCTTGCTCTGTTAAAATTAAAAATAATAATAAATAACTTGTGCATTTCAGTGTTTAATATTTGCCTAATGCCAATAAGTTCAAATAAAAAATAGTTATCCTATGTTTAGCCTCTATATAGTGTATATAGAGTGGGCCAGAATTCATCTAGTAATACGGTAATAGAATATAACCTACTTGTTCTAGGTCGACCAACCAGGGCTGGATACATTTTACACAGACCCGAGAAGACGCCGGCCACTGACCATCATTTGGACAACTGTGCTGTACAGGAAATTTCTTATAAATTGCGTTTTTGATTATTTACGTAGTATTTGACCCATGTAGCGCTTGGGCGCTTGAAGTCACAACCGCAGTGATGGAGAATTATGGTTGACTTAACATAGTGAAATAAAAATTGATGTCGTCTTTAATACTAAATCTGGTTAAGCCTGCAATCCCAGATCATTGGCGGTCTTTCAAAACTTGCTGACCCACTGATTTTGAGGTTATTTGCCATTTAACTTTTTATACCTCTAAATTATGGCCTCTGAGTTCCATGCACTCTGTGTTCACTCAAATGAGTATGTGTCCATTTCTAACATGGCTGCATTGTTACTCTTTGTTACTGGTTACTCATTGTTACTGGTTTATTCTTTGTGATGCGTTTCCAGGTGTTATTTTATCGATGTGCGGTATAGATAGAATATTCTTTATAGGTTATGTTCTAGCGTAAGCATCATCTCAACCATTGATTGGGCGTTATATATATATATATATATATATATACACACAAAATACTATAGTGTTTCTGTTTTTAGATAATTTACTAGAACCATTTTTTTGACAAACAAAAGATACCATCATTGGTGTTTTTACGAAGATTTATGAAGCATATACATTAGGAGGTTTATTATACTCTGTTACTGTCCAACACAGTTAAAGGGACACTCCAGGCACCCAGACCACTAGAGGGCACTTCAAGGTTTTCTGTGCTAGAGCGTTGCTGGACATCCTCCCGCTGTGTGAGGACCTCCAGCGTCGCTTAATTCCCCATAGGAAAGCATTGAAAAGCATTTTCAATGCTTTCCTATGGAGAGCTCTAATGCACATGTGCGGCATTGGCGCGCATGCGCATTAGGTCTCCTCAGCCGGCGGGCGGGATCAGTCTCCCCTGCCGGCCGACGTAATGAAGAGAAGGAGCGGCGGCGACCCGAAACTACCGCCGAGGGACATCGGTGGGGGTCTCAGGTAAGTCACTGAAGGGGATTTCACCCCTTCAGCAACTGGGGATGGGTGGTGGGAGGGAGAGGGGACCTGCAGTGCCAGGAAAACTGATTGTTTTCCTGGCACTGGAGAGAGTCCTTTTAATCTGGAGTTATAAAACCTGTTTCACTGGTGGCAGACATTTTGTAATTTTGTCTATATTCTGTGACTCCCAATCATCCAAATAGCTGTTGGAGCATCATGGGAAATGTAGTCCATGACATCTGAAATATCAGTGGTTGGCAATCAGACCCATTGCGTCTCAGAATTCCACTCCATGCTCAGCTTTCCGTCGACCGGATACCTTTGTAAATTCGCTATATGATTTATACATGCGATGTGCAGATTTTAGCAATGACTTTGGAGGACAGGCACCTGTTACTGGCAGCTGAAATGTTTGTGTGATCCATTTATTTATTTTAAATATTATTTTGGTATATGAATCATGAAACTGTTTAAAAACTTTCAAAAAAAAGTTTATTTGTAAAGATCACTTCATTAAAAGTAAAAAGTTAAGGCACTATAAAGTGTATCCTAGAAACCAAGATACCATTTTAAGTGATTTTTCCATAGATAGAATTTTGCATATTAAAGGAACACTCTAACAACTATAACCACTCCAGGATGCTGAAGTGGTTATAGTACCAAGGACTGCCCTGGTGCCCCTCCTGATGTAAACAGTCAAATGGTTTAACAGTTTGGCAACTTACCTAGAGCCTACTGTGCCCTAGTCACCTCCTCTTTGGGAGCCAGAAGCTCTGCGTTGAACAAAGTCTAGCAGTTGCAGGGCTTAGCTTTTTGGCCGATGGCATGCAGGAACTCTGGCTCTCCATGGAGGAAGTGACTGGCAGACCCAGATAAGTCAAGCCATTAGGAAAAGGTTTAACTACTTACAGGTTGGAGGAGTTCTGTAGTGGTTATGATACTTGGAGTGTTCCTTGAATACAACAAC